TGTACCATGGTCCATTGTGGTTTACACCCAGACGTTATGCCATGGAACCGTGTTCACCATTCATGGTGAACACGGTTCCAACGGTGTTAGTGCACCGTTATCTTTTTTTTTTTTTTTTTTTTTTTTTTTTTTTTTTTTTTTTTTTTAATTAATTACGTGACTGCCTACACATTCACTTTGGAACCATGCCTACACATTCACTTTGGAACCATGAGATTATGAATTTTCTGTTATGAGATTATGAATTTTCTGTTATGAGATTATGAATTTTCAGTTATGAGATTATGAATTTTCTGTTATGCGATTATGAATTTTCTGTTATGAGATTATGAATTTTCATTACATTCATAATTTCGGAGTTTCGGACATTCATAAATTATGAATTCATGCATGCACATTCACTTTGGAATCATGCCTACACATTCCCGTCCGAAATCACGGACATTCATAAATTATGAATCCATGCCTGCACATTCACTTTGGAACCATGAGATTATGAATTTTCTGTTATAAGATTATGAATTTTCTGTTATGAGATTATGAATTTTCAGTTTTGAGATTATGAATTTTCTGTTATGCGATTATGAATTTTCTGTTATGAGATCATGAATTTTCATAAAATTCATAATCTCATAACAGAAAATTCATAATTTGATCAGTAACGCGCCGTTAACTCCACATCCGCGATTTTTTTTTTTTTTTTGCATAAAAACGACATCGTTTTGACTTGTGTTCACCATTCTCGGTGAACACGATTTCACGGCATAATTTGCGGTTTACACCTAAAAAGTTAAATGGACGATTTGAGGTCCATTATATTGATTAGTCTATTTTACCAACGCATATTTCCACGAACGAGAAGACCGACTTGGACATATCTGCCTTGCAGGACATGTTCAAAATCATTAGGGTCTGTTTGGAAACCCGAAAATAACTTCTGGAAAATGACTTCTGAAAAATGAGTCATTTTCCAGAAGTCATTTTTCTTTCCTGTGTTTGGCTGGACAATGGAAAACTGTCTTTTGGTGTTTGGTTCATTTTTTAGAAAATGATGGAAAATTGTCTTTTGGTATTTGGTTCATTTTCCAGAAAATGAACAAAATGGCACACTTATTTTTATTAAACATTTTAATTATTATATACCGAATAATATATTTTTATTTTTGTTTGTAGAATATAACAATTTTTATTACAAATTATATGCAACACAAATTTTGATTGTATTTAATTCTAATGCCATTGCTCTCTATCTTTCTAGCAGAGCTATCAGTGCGGGCTGGCGGGGCGGGGCCCGCCAAAGCCCGCCTTTTGGCGGGGCGGGCTAAAAAGCCCGCCAAGAATACGGGCCTAGGTAGGGGCAGCCCGCCCCGCCCCCCCTTAGGCCCGCGGGCCCCGCCAAAGCCTGCCTGTTTTTTTTGTTTTTTTTTTTTTTGTAATCATGTGTGATGTCCCTAAAATCTAAACTCTAATGTGATTATGTTAATAGCTTAATTGCTATCTACTTAAAACACTTATTCATAAGAAAATAACATAAATTCGTTCATCACAACATGACAACAATAACACCAATAGGGATTAGTATAATTATCGAAAAACCGATATCGATAACCAACCGACCGATAATTTCGGTTAACGGTTATAAGCAAAAAAAATTGATTATTCGACTATTCGATTATTTATAAATTACGAAGTTGTAATAACCGCGATCACCGAATAACCGACACTATAATTTATATTATTATATTATATATATTAATTTTAATTTTATATATATATATATATATATATATATATATATATATATATATATATATATTAGTTACTTTACAGTAACTAATATATATACTAGTTACTTACAGTAACTAATATATATATTAGTTATTGTAAAGTAACTAATATATATATATATATATATATAACTAATATATATAATATAAAACTAAAAAAAAAAAAAAAAAAAAAAAAAAAAAAAAAAGGCGGGCTGGCGGGTAGCCCGCCAGCCCGCCCCGCCAAGCCCGCGGGTTAGGCGGGGCGGGCAAAAAAGCCCGTTTTTAAAACGGGCTTCAAAAACATGAGCCCACTCCGTCCTTTTGACGGGCGGGGCGGAAAAGTCCGGCGGGCTAAACCCATTTTGACGGCTCTACTTTCTAGTAATAAAACTATTGTCACAATATGACAATTTGAAATCACAATTACATGTTAGAAACAACATAAACGCTAGAGTAATCAAGTGTTGAAAATTAAAATCCACAAAGTGTTAGGATCCAATATAACAAGTACTAAGATCCAACATAACCAACCAACTACAAAACATACATAAAAATAAGTCTTAAAGATTACAATCTAAGTCTTAACATTCATGTTAACCAACAAAAAAGACATACATAATTTAATCCGTAGAAGAAATACCAGCAACAAGTTCACGGTTTGACATAAAAAAATACAAACAAAAAAAATTACTACTGGTTTCAAAACCAATTAATAAAACAATTCACTGGTTTCCAATCGGAAACCAGTGTGTCACTGGTTTCTAATCGGAAGCCACTGGTTTCCAATTGGAAACCAGTGGCACTGGTTTCCGATTGGAACGCACTGGTTTCCGATCGGAAACCAGTGCATGGTTTCCGATTGGAAACCAGTGTGTCACTGGTTACCAGTGCGTCACTTGGAAACCAGTGACACACTGGTTTCCAATTGGAACGCACTGGTTTCCAATCGGAAACCAGTGAACACTGGTTTCCAATCTGAAACCAGTGGCACTGGTTTCCGATCGGAAACCAGTGCATGGTTTCCGATCGGAAACCAGTGACTGGTTTTCCGCATTGGAAACCAGATCTGGTTTCCGATGCGAAAACCAGACTCACTGGTTTCCCCAGCCATAATATTTGGAAAAAAAATTTAAAAAAAAAAAAATACCTTATAGCTTTTCTAGTGTTGGTGAAGCTTTTGTGGATTGTTGGAGGAGATGCGTTGGTAGTTCTTTGTTGAATGTTGAAGAAGCAGTGAAGGGAGAAGAAGCAGTGAAGGGAGAAGAAGCGTGTCTACGGATGTTGATTGAAAGATGGAAAATGACTTCCGTAAAAAAAAAAGGGGAAGTCATTTTCCGGATTTCAGCCCTCATTTTCCATCGACTAGAAGTCATTTTCCTTTGACTATTTCATTTTGAGCCTTCCCAAACACCAAAAACCTGGAAAATGACTTCCAGAAGTCATTTCCCGGGTTTCCAAATAGACCCTAAAGTTACAATTAATTTTCCACGCACATTATTCTAGGCAAATTATATCATAAACCCCGAGATCCATCTTGTAAGGTGATCTTTTATATTTTTCTTTTTAGTACTATCTCATCCAAAGAATCAATACTCCACCACCGATATTCGATCATGTGACGTTTTCTCAAGGAGAGCCAATGTGTCAATTGAGTACAATGTGTTTGACATCTTGATACAGATTTAATTTTAGTATATATTGCAGATACACTTTTAGTATATTACATGTTCATTTTTATTGTATTGCAAATCAAAATAAGTTCTTTTTTGAAGACAACTTAATTCATTAAATCACGTGAAAGACAGTTTCCAAGGAACATTGGAGGGGCATCTAACCACTCTCCACAACCTGACTCTAAAAAGGCCTCCCTGGCAACAGTGTGGGCGGCACAACTCGCAGATCGTCTAACAAAAGGAATTGCACATCGTGTATGAGCGATGCAAATTCTATAATATCCTCTACTAAAAGACCAAACGAAGAATTAAAAGAAGAAGATGTAAGGGAATAAAAAATAGTTTGGGAGTCCATTTCTACATCAATATTGCCCATTCCAGTATCCCTGATCCAACTCAGAGCTTCACGTAAACTGACTACCTTAGCCTCATTAACAGTGAAGATACCTGTTATCCGCATATTCTTCGCAGCCATGAACGTGCCATTATGATCTCGCAACACCCATCCCAAGCCCATTGAATTCGTTGATGCGTTTAGAGCTGCACCTGTATTGAGCTTTAGCCTCCCAACCGCTGCCCGTGACCATCTATCATCACCAGTGTCAGGATTCCCAGTTTGTTGTGTCACATTCGCGTGCTGCCAATTCTGCCAGAAGATTATAGCCCGGCTTAGCATTACATCCATGTCAAACACCACCTTTGCCAAACATGTTCATTCCTACTGCACCAGATTTCCCAACAGACCATGACAAACTTAGCAAGGTTTTCACCATGCAAGACCTTAATTAAACCAAAGAACCAATCAGTGATGTTACCATTAACAACTCCAACCGATGGTATGCTTAAAATGCTCAAAATAAGTTCTTAGTACACTAAAATAGAATTTGCAGTACATTAAAATTGAAAAATGTATCAAAGGTTTATCTTGTTATGTGGACATTGATCCATGATATAGGCATTAAATATTTTAATGCCATGAGTTTAATTCTTGTTAATAATATTTTAAATATGAGTCAAATAGGCCATCGAACTGCACCCAATAATGCAATTAGGCCATTGAACTTTAAAAAGCTACAATTGGATCCCTGAACTAGCCCAATGAGTCAAATAGGCCATCGAATTGCACCCAATAATGCAATTAGGCCATTGAACTTTAAAAAGCTACAATTGGATCCCTGAACTAGCCCAATTTATAAGTTTTGGCATGCAAACTGCTACAATTGGATCCCTGAACTAGCCCAATTTATAAGTTTTGGCATGCAAACTGAGCCAAGCAGGCGAGCAGCAACAACACACACATGATTTTCCCCTATTTCCCTCCATAACACTTCAAACCTTCTCAAAGGGGTTGGTGAATAAAAGGGGGTAAAAGGTGAGTTAGCTTGCCAATGTGGGACACTTGAATAAGGACAAAACTTGCACAAGGCACCCAAAAGCCTTTGTCCTATTAAATGTTTCCCAACACTAACAATATAAATTAAGGGTTAAAAGTATTTTTTATTATAAGCTACAATGTAATTTTTCAGATAATTTTTACCTTCTCAACACTCTTAGTTTGATGTGATACCCATTCCTCTGGAGTGAATGCTTTTACTGATATGCTATCTGCCCATATCTCAGTTTGGGTATTATTGCACTGTGGGATCAGAAGGGGTACGTAAAGATGAATTAAAATCTTAAAACTAAGAGTTAAACCATTCATAAAATTAAAGAAATTGGGTTAATTAATATGAAAACACACCTCAAAATGTAATTCACTAGGGCCAGAAACATTAGCAACAAAACCACCCTTAAACATGGACCAACAACCAGATCTAGCTACAACCCAAGCTGCATACACTTTGCCTGTTGCTGTTTTAAACTTGGCTGCTACATCAGCTTCACCTTCACTTAACTGTATCCAACCTACAATAAAGAAATTCAACATAGAAATAATTATTTTAAAATATTATGAGAGTTTTTTTTTTGAAAGTATATTATGAGAGTTTAATTATAGGTAAAATCGCATTTTTTTGTCCTCAAGTTGCACTCATAGTATAGACTTAGTCTCGGTATTATATGCGTGACCATATTGTGCAAAGTGACAATTTTAGTCACTAAATGAGCAAATCAGCCACTTTATTAAGTGAAAAAAATAGTTCAGAATGAAAAAAATCGCTACTTTGAACATAACTTGGACGTTAAAATGATCACACATCTAATTCATTGACTAACAAGTCTCTACCATGTGTATAGTTGAAGGAACAAAAACGCAATTCTCCCATAATTATATATATCCACAAGCTAGGGTGAAAATTTGTACCTGAAACAATGTAGTGATTATCTTTCACCAAATCAAACTTTTGAGAAAAACCATCTCCTGCTTCTTTTCGATTGGAAGCAATGATGAAGTTGTTTCCATTCTTGGAAACTCCCACCGTTAGGTTTACATCAATATTTCCGAAACCAAACAAGCCATTCAACCCATGTCTCACCTCTGGATTCACCATTATCCCTCCATTGTACTGAGGTTTGAGAGGATTTTCCAAGCACTGTATACAAACAACAAAACCAAGATGTTTTACTTATATAATATTAGCACAAAATTGCTACAAATTATAATGTTTCAAGTGATAAAAATAGTGACACGCGGAAGTTGCCTCATTAGAGAAGCTGTAGTCATAGTCTTCCGCGCGAACTTGAAACCCTGCATCGTACATTACAGGTTATTACTAATTACTGAAGTTATTTAGTCTTCATTAATTACAAATAATGTAACTAGATTATAATCACCAGTAATCTAATATATATAACAAAAGTGTGACGACAACGCAAAAAAAAAAAAAAAAAAAAAAAAACCTATAACAAAGATTACACATAAAATCCATTTAAGCGGCTTTCCTCCTTTAAAAAGCATCATGTCTAAGAGCCCACCTGCACCATTAAATTGATCAAATTCACAAAAGCAGCTAAGGTTACAAACATTTATAAATTTCATATTATGCGTGTAAAAGAGTTGTGTGCAAATGTTGGCTATACAAAACTTTAAAGGTGTGTGTACCTTAAAAGTTTTCAAGGCACTACAAGGTGACAAAAAAAACATATGATTTGTGTTGAAATGAAGCCAATATATAGTGTCAAAGTTTTCCACCTTCGATATGCCTTTCATTTCGTTTCTAAATTGATAATATTTATTTCCCCTTTTGCTTTTAGCAAGAGTCAATCAAAATTTGGTAAATTAATTTAAAAGTTAGCCATTTAAACATCAATATTTCTTCCATATATCATTTTTACTGATCTCATGCCATTTTCAATTAGAGTAGCGTTCAAATCTTCCCAATAGGCCTTTATTTTTGTTTTTAAATTGCTAATATTTAGTAAGTCAATCAAAATTTGGTAAGCTAATTTAAAAGTTTGTTATTTAAACATCAATATTCATTCTAGGTATCATTTTGATCTGCTAGCTAGTTTCTTAATTAGGGATTATTATTTCCCTAGTTTCTTAATTAGGGAGGTGTTTAATCCAAAAAAAAAAAAATTAGAGATGTGAATTTCAATTTACATTTAGATTCTTATATTGTTGATTGTGTTTTGATTGTTAGTTTCGTATAATTGTGAAGATTATAATATATAGTTGTGTTATTGTGAAGAATATATTGTATAATTTATTGTGTTGGTTTTGCAAAATTTTTTATAGGATTTAAAAAAAAAAAGAGGTTTTTAAAATAATTAATTTATTTTAGAATTTTTTTATAATAAAAAAAAAGTATCCGCGACCGTACCTTAGTTGGAAGGGTCGCGGATACCTAATTAAGAGAGAGAGACCAGGATTATGTGGTCTAATGGTATCCGGGTTGGACTTCCATTTAGAAGGTTGTGATTCGAGCTTCAGTGGAGACGTTATTGGCTCTTTGTGTTTCAGTAGGTTGAGAAAGTATATGAACAGATACTACATTCTAATAGAGCTAGTAGCATTCAAAAGAGAGAGAGAGAGAGAGAGAAAGAATTCGTGACCAACGACCGCGGATGCTCAACATATAGGAGGTTGTGGATTTAAGATCCAAAGGATGCGATATTGACTCTTTGTACTTCAATAGAAAGTCAGTAATACTCAAAAAAAAAAAAAAAGTTATGTAATAATGGAGAAGGGCCAGAAACATTAGCAAACTAGCTACTCTACATGCATTTCATTCCTCAGCTCTATGCAAATTGATCCCATTTAAGCATATATAATAAGAGCAAGCTCAATCCAAAACCAATTCTAGCTACTCAATGATTAGAGATTTAAAGTAAAAGCACAATAAAATTGCATGTAATAAAAGCTCAAGTGAAATAGAAAAACTTGAAATGAAATTAATTAAAGGAACTGAAATGGAATTGAAGAAAATTAAATATGACAATATTTGTTAATTATTGATCTACAAAGTGGAATTTGCAAGAGTTTATGAACTAGACTCACGAGAGAAAGTACTCCATTAGTACTATGCTAAAACCAACAAAAGATCCCTTAAGTCACAGGATAATTATTGTCACTTAAAAACAATCAGATCAGAATAGGTTTTTGTTGGGCAGTGAGATGGTTCGGAGAGCTGAGTTCAGCATCCTGCCATCAAAACGTGGCGCTAATGTTGTGCATGTATGAAGAAATAAATGATTGATCCTTTAGCCTATTTGAGATTTATAACATTATGATTTTGAAAAATGGGTCAAGCTTGGTTTGTGGGTTGGTAGGGCTGGACTGAGTTTTTCCTCCTATACAAAGTATTTTTTGCATGCTTAGCTTGGCTTGTGGGTTGGATTGCTATGAATGTCTTTTTACTTCCTAAAGGGCTTTGCGGGGAGATTAAGCGGATGATGAACTCTTTTTTGTAGGGGTGTGAGCAGCGAAGGGAAAAGGGAATTAGATGGAGTACTTGGGGCGATCTTTGTAAACTGAAGAAGTTTGGTGATATGGGGTTTAGGGCAGTGAGAGATATAAATATGGCAATGTTGGAAAAGCAAAGGTGTAAATTCCTAACCGATCCAAATGCTCTGCAAAGGCTGGCTATACAAAACTTTAAAGAGTACGTACCTTAAAATTTTCCAGGGATGCACAATATAACAAAAAATATGTTCTCAAGGAGCCAATATATAGTGTCAGTTTTTAATTGTGATTAATCATTCTTTAATTTGCTTTTAGTGAGCTAATTCTTAGTAAATTCAAATTTAATATTTGTTATAAATAGATTTATGGTGGACATTAATAATAGTTTTGTAACGTTTGTAACGGATGTAATTATCATTCATTATTGTATGTCTTTATGGTATCTTGTATATATATCATTGTACTATGATGAATGAGAATATAGAGATATCCTCCTTTCTCCCTGGTGTATATTCTTTTAACACGTTTGTAGACACAGAAAATTTGAAGCCGACAAGTGGACCGATTAAATCATTATCAAGCCCAATTTCAGGGTTAATCATTAGTCCAATTTAATTATTAATTGGGCTATGATAATTAAATTAATTTAATTAGTCCAAGTAAATTTGATTTGGGCTATTGAATTAATTAATTAATTGGTCCAAGCCCATTTCATAATTGAATTATAATTATAATTATAATTTAAATATAATATAATTTTATTATATTTGAATTAGATAATTATAATTTAATTTGAATTTGAATTAGATGATAGAATAATGAACCTAGACTTGATTTTGGCAAGGTTCATTTTAGTAGATAATTAATTAATTTAATTAAATAAATATTAGTGGAGTTTGTTGAGGGATTTTAGTTACAAACTTCACTATAAATAGAGCCTCAATTCCATTCTTCAAAAGACACCTTAAATACATTGAGAACAACTTGAAGACTTGAGAGCTTGAAGACATTGAAGAACGCTTGACAACTTGAAGGCTTGAAGATTTGAGAGCTCTTTTGAAGGCATTTGAAGATCTGGAAGAATTAAAGGCATTGAAGGCATTTTTTGCAGGTTTTAAAGATCTTGAAGCAACTTGAAGCCTTTTTGTAGAGTTTATTGCTTCGGAGCTTGACGTTTGCTGTTGAAGATCACGCCGTTTGAATCCCGGAAGCTACGCCGTTTAAATCCCGGAGGCTACGCTATTTGAATCCTGGAGGCACTTCAATAGATAACGGCATTGAAGAACGCTTGAAGACTTGAACGCATTTTTGTTGATTTTGCAGGCAATTTGAATCCATTGCAGGGCTGATTACTTCTAAATTATTGACGCTCGTTGTTGGAAGTCGCGCCACTTAGATCCCGGAAGCTACGCCACTTAAATCCCGGAGGCACGCGCCACTTAAATCCCGGAGGCTACGCTATTTGAATCCCGGAGGCACTTTCATAGATAACGTCATTGAAGAATCAGAGGACTAGACAGAGATTTTGTACCTGCATTGAATTATACACACGCTGTACACGGAATTTTGTGAATATATACAAAGTTTACTATTTTGTGTTTACAACGTTATCAGCACCCGATGATTTACCAATGGATTAACCACACCTCTTGTCGTCGTCTGGTTTTCGGTTGCGAGCCGCATCTCTTCCTCGCTCCTCTCCTTTGGATCGCTCCTTTTTCCGGCAATCTATTCGCCTTCAGACTCGATCGAAGGAGACCAGTCCTCGTCTTTGGGGTTGACTTCGATAATGGAGGCTATTCAAGGGCAATCGAAGGATATTCTGGGTCATTTGCAATCATCTAAGGTTGTTTGCCAATTGAGGATCGACGTCAGCCTTGTGCGATCAGACCAGCGGTGGAGATAGATCAGAGACGGAGACATCGAGGACAGGCATGCGGTGGTGGCATCCCTGTGCCTACTTACGCACCATCTGATCCTCCGATCCGATCCTTCTGGTGTTGAGGCTCCCGCAAATGATGTTTCGGTTGGCTGTTGTGATGATCAAATTACTCGATTATTGCCCAAAATGGAGAGCCCGAAAATCAACGTCTTCACTTCAATGTCTCATATCCCAAGCGAAAGTCTAATTAGAAACAGTACCGTTTTCCGCCACGACCACCGCCATAATTTCCGCCGGAGGCGATCATGGCTTGCTGCTGCATTGTGGCTACCACCGCTGGAATTAAATTGATGTCTCCAAGCGATTAGACGAACGGCGAAGAACGCAACGAACCACTCCTTATGGTGGTCAAGAATGGGCTAAGTCTACGGCTGATGCTATGGTGCAAGGTAAGTCCTTCCCTCCTTGTGATTCTAGGATCGGTTCTGGTAGTTTGGAAGCTTAGCAATCCGGTAATACGAGATCCTCTCATGGTGTTGCTTATCGGCGGGTTCAAGCGAACTCTGCTGGTCATAGTACCCATAATGGTCTTCTTCAAGCTCGTGTACCGGTGATGTCCAGTGCCAGAGTCCCAGGTTTGGTTTCTGCTCTTGTGGACAATGGCTTGCCGCCTCTAAATGTTTCTCGTACTCATAATTATGTTGAAGTTACAGTTTTGGTTTTGGATGGAGTTGTTAGTGGTGTGAGTGCAAGTGATACCCATATCACTAATTCAATTCCACAGCCATGTCTTAATGCTTTTATTGAGCCTAATGTTTTTGACCAAATAAGAAGGGATTTTTTTTCTGCTTCTTCGAATGTTAACAATGGTGGTATAGGTGTGTCGAATTCCAATTTGGTTTTGCAACCTTTACACCCTACGGCTGACATTCATTATCATCTTAATGTTAATTGGTCAAAATCCTCGAGTACAAATTAACCAGTTTGTAGACGTATATTAAATATGTTATACTGCTCAAAATCACAAGTTTCAATGGTTTCCATGCCTGTTTAATGACTTGCACTGCATGCCCACAAAGTTTTTATAAGTACTTGGTTAGAATGCACCTATGTAACATTTATTTGCATAAAATTGTAGGCATGCCTGAAAATTCTGATCGGCGCAGTTTGCAAAATAAATTTAAGAAAATACCTATTGAACTCCTTTTGGCATGAAATTTTTTCAGAAGAACCTAGACTCGTGATATTTGATGTCTGTAAAAAGATTTTGTTAAAAATATGCTTTGGTTATTTCAGAAAAATTTGTAAAGTTTTGGTAGTGTGCTGCCAATTATTTTTTTGCCTGGAGCAATGTTGGAAATTTTTTGGAAAAATACTTCCAGACCTTTGATTGGCATGGAAGTTTTTATGTACATTCTAGATTTGCTGAACTTTGTATCTCAATTTTTTTTGCCAAAATGTGTTACCGTTTCCCCCAGAAAATTCTGCAATTTGGGTCAAAGTTCCTGAAATTTGCTATCAATTTCTGTATCTTGAATTATTTGAGCACCTTGAGAAGTTGATTATTTGAGAATACACATATATTTGCATGATGATAGCAATACTCACATTGCATCAGACTTGGTATTTGAATGCCTAATTGGTTTTTGGGATAGCAAATTATGATGTTGGCAACACAGTTTCATTTGCTCATAATGTGCTCAGAATTTGAGAACTTCTATTTGTTCAAATTTGCTTTGTAGCTAGGTGAACCATAAAACAAAGAAGATTTGTTGTTTTTTCTTGTTGATAACAAATATTTGCTATAGGCCATGAATGCTACAACGTGAAGCAAACTTTTAAGACAAGTATTTTTAAAGGCATAGTATTATTGAGGTTTAAATCATAAAACAGTGAGATAATTCTGTTAAGGTTAACCTCCTTAGCAGCATTGTGCTCCTTTCAGATTTGGTCACATTGTGCTCCTTTAGTAAGCATCGTGCTCCTTCGGACACATTGTGCTCTTTTAGACACATCGTGCTCTTTTAGCACACATCGAGCTCCTTCAAAATCTGCCTTAAAAAAAAACATAGGTCCTTTGGGGGGAATCGATCTCGTGTGTGATCATTTAGAGTAAAGACCACTACCATTTCGTCGTTAGGCTCATCCAATCATTTCTTGCAACGCCATTACTTTATGCTTCTTTCACGGATGAATACTCGTAGGACCAAAATTAATTTCTCAAATTAATTTTGTTCTTCCTATGGTAGATTCCTTCTGATTTCAATATTCTGATTTATGATGCTTGTACTGAAGACTTAAAAACTAAGGGGATCTAAAGATACATTTGGCTCATCAAAACTTACAAAAATATTCGTATCACCTCCATTTGAAACAAGGGACAGCTACCGTCATGGAATACCATAAACGATTCCTCGAACTAGCACGCTTCGCGCCAGAACTAGTCCCCACCGAGGTAACCAAAATAGAGAGATTCGTATCGGGCCTCAACTTCGAAGCCCGAAACGCACTAGTGGTAAGCAGACCTCGGACCCTCAACGAGGCTTACTCCAGTGCCGCTAATCTCTATCGAATCCAACTACTCCAACGCGGAATTCAGGAACAGATACGAAAGAGAAACACCGGAGGTGGAGCACCACCTGTAAAAAGGACGAGAAACGACACCAACACAAGACCGAGCAATCTGACCAACCAAAGGCCGCCGCTAGGGAACAACGAAGCTAACACAAGGAGCTTCCCTTGCCCGAAATGCAACAAAAGCCATAGAGGTAAAGACTGCAT